AGTACAATTATAGTGTTTATTAGTCTCTTCATATATATAATATATATATATATATATATATATATATAGTTTCATTGTGTACATATATATACTGCTCATAACTTATGCAAAGGCCAACCACTAATCTCTTATTTGCAAATTTTCAATCAGAAATACCCATACTATAAACGTATATTGATCCTACAATTTTAAATAACATACACTGCGCTATAATTTACTCATAACACCTCATCATCAAATCGTGCTTTCCTTCGTCGTCACATCAATACACAAGTTTAATGCACAATGCACAATACACTGTTTCCTTCCGTTAGTCGAGCTCTGTTGCCTTGCGGCACTATAGTTAAAACTGAACATGTGCACATACAGCAGTGACGCAACACAACGGCAACGCTCGATCGCCAAACCAAAGTCATCCCCGTACACTGCCATCAATACATCACCATCTGAAACTAGAGGAGAAATCTCCTGACTTACTACGCCTACTCCTCATAGGGTCTATGTCCCCAAGGGTACTGCCGGAACGCGCCCTGGGTACAGTCCGGTATACCGGAACGTACCCTCGTAACTATTTGATATGGTTAGGGTTAGGGTTAGGGAGTAGGCGTAGGCGACTCCCTAGACTCGTTAGTTGCGTAGGCGAGGTACGGTCCGGCATGTTAGATAGTACTAGGGTACGTTCCGGTATACCGGATCGTACCCAGGGTACGTCCGGCAGTACCCTGGGGGACATAGACCCTCTCAGCACTACGCTCACTACACTACTACTACGTCACTACTACTACACTACTACTACTACTACTACTACTACTACTACTACTACTACACTACTTAGTACTACACTACTAGACTACTACAGTACTACTACTACTACTACTACTACTACTACTACTACTACGACACCATCGGAACCTGAACCTGGACGACCGCTTTCTACTCCTGCAACGCAGTTGGTGCGTCCTACAGCACATTTTCTCTACTGGAAAGCAAGCAGTAAATGTACGAACACACGCAGCCATTTGCACACAAACATGTGAGCTGGTGGTACCCTGCTGGTATATAGACATTTGCAATGGTGAGGCTTACGTAAGTACGTTTGCAGCGAGAGAGCTAATGGTACGTAAAGCAGTGCATACATCAATCCTCAGTAAACGACTGCACTCGGATGGCAATGGTGTGGAATGACATTTCAGTATGCAGTAGGGATATGTTGTTGCACAAACATTGTAACCCATAATGCAAGCACATTTTCCGTGCCTTGGCTTAGCTACATTGACATGTTTATGTATTACAGGTCTCGCTCTCTCGTCCTCGCCCTCGCTCCCTCCCTCCCTCCCTGCCCCAGCTACCTTATTCACTCACTCACTCACTCTCCCTCTGTGTGTGCATGCGTGCGTGCGTGAGTGAGTGTGTGAGTGAATGCATGTACGTGTCTGTTGGGAGATGAACTATGGAAAAGATTTGCAGTCACCCTTCACTTGTAAAGTTGTATCACTGCGCAAGTTCCAATAACTTATGAAAACAATCAGCAGATTGAGGGGCTGATTAACCTGTACATATATTTTACAGATTATGAGATATATCAAATACTTCCCCTCTAAAATGCAGCTAAAAATTCCATATTAAACCTTAAAATTTAGAGAAGGAAAAAATGACATATCGGATTCAGTTGTATACAGCCCTTCTCGCAATATGAGTTAAAATGGAATCCCCCCCCCCCCATAAAAATCTGTCATAAATATTCGTATACACACACTACAATTTCTATATTTCCGCATAAAAATGCCCAGAAATGCAACATTTAGTACACACAATCCTTGAGAACAGTGATTATGGTGCCCAAAATGTATACAAACTGCCATTTCTGTTCGTTTGAAATTTACTATTCAAAATACGCACTCGCTGATCTGTGGTAATAATTTTCAATTCGTTTTTGCAAAAACGAAATAAAGCATTTTTTACAAAAAAACTCATGGTTAAGTAGCTTCCAGAAATAATCTCTTCATCAAACTTACTTCCGTTAATAGATTTTGGCACAATGATACGAATTTCGGCTTATTTACGTACTACGTTTGCCTGCACTAACAACGCAAGATAATTATACACACTGAAGTTTCACTGGAGTCGCTGTGTAAATATTACTTAGCAGTTAGCACAAAATCTTGACACGTCTTTTTCCCGATGCAAACATCGGAATGCAAGGTTTTTGAACAAGCAGGCTTATATATATATGTCGAGTCTGTCCGATCTAAACACTTCTATGCACTTGCTCTTCCACTCAAAGTGCTTGCACAGAACACTACTTTGGTTAGATAAAATGAACTTAGGGGAGAAGCAGCTTTAGTAACCTCCTGACCTCTCTTACTGACAGTATCAGGGGAATAGCCCACCCCACCCCCATCATCGGGGCGTTAGCCCCTGTGTCGGCCAACTTCTGGTGCCACCCCCACATTGTTAAAAACTCGAGCTAGACCTTGACAGGACATAACAGATGCAGGCGCCACTCTGAACAGAATTTATAACATAGCATCTTTCAACAAAGAATTTTTTACGTCGGCAATGATCAAGTAGCCACCCCACAGAGGTTACGCGTAACACAGGGTTGACTGTAGCCATAATTCCAATGCCCGAGATACGATATGTGTTGGCAGGGACAAGGATATCCCACACGATTTATTATATTTCAAGTCTTCTCCCCTACTTTGCTTTGCGTTTCCAATTTTTAACACGCCGGTGGGATTCTTGACGTGGCTAGACGATTTTTGTTCACAGACAAAAGTTTGCAGTTCACAGAGAACAGAAGTCATATATGAAGTCCTGCAAGTGAACGCGTCAGCTGTTGACTGTAATCACAGAAAGGCTTCCAAAATTTCCAAATATATCATCACAAATCGCACCTAAACCAGGAAGGCCGTGTTTGCAACAACTGCATATAATAACGGCATGCCATATATATACATGTAAATGAGCAATACTGGTATAGGCATAATACACATGTAATATCATACACATATGCCCCCTACAACTGGGGACAAATCCGATTAATATGCCATTAGTGTCAGGAGTGTATAACATAGATTCCTGATAGCGTAGTATATGGTGATAATAAATGGATTGCGAAGGTAAGCATAACAATATCATAATGCATGCAAGTAGGGCCTACTTCTTATCAAGAGCACATGATCATAAACTGAGCAAATACTTTACGCGCTCTAGTTTATATATATATATATGTATATACATTGAACGCACCACCATCCCAATGTTGTTTACTGCCGGATTAGCATAATGTGACACATTGACACACTGGGCCGGTCTGCACCGTATTGTTCAAAGATTAGCACAGTGTATCACTCAATTTAGTCATAATAGTCACAGTGTAAATGTGCATGTGGCTATTTCAGCATATTCCTGCCTGTTGGGCACGTCCTGAACTCACACAGCAAATATCTATTGCAATGCGTCAAATAAACATTTGTCTTTGTTTCTTTCCTAATGCTGTGCCCCCCCCCCCCCCGAGCCCACGCGCACAGCAGACATTTGTCTTCTTGCAAAATTTGAAAATGACATGATCACTAGGTGCATGCTGACTGATTAACGAGCCAAAAAGGTCTTTTGCCCTGGTCTAGACGCGCGATGAACACAGCCTACTCTCTGACATTTACACAAAATATTGTTCTCGAATATCATACATGATGGATCTCGACAACAATTTTCGGGAAAGACAACTAAATGTTTTGTGTTTTGGGGGCATTGCACACGCAGCCGATTATTGTTAGGAGACAAATGTGTCGGTCGCATGACAACAAACGTGCTGTAAGCATTCGACAGAACCGGTAATATGGTCATATGAGAATCTCATAACACAATTAACGTGAGAGAACTCATTCTCGGTGATGAAAATTACCACTTGCCCAACGTGAGTAAAAATAATCTTAGACTCCAGAATTTCGCCAGAATGTCACCCAGAATGCGAAGGTTTGTTGGCATAAGTAAATGTTTTTTGAGTGCTACGATTGCACAAACACAATTCGCTTGCCGTTTCTTACTTCATTGCTGTACATGATGAAAGCTTGATGCTATACCACTAGCACGAAATCGATCTCAATCTGCACTTAGAACTGCTAGGAACTGTTAAAAAAAGACTTGCATTTCTTTCCTTATAATATCTGCTCTGAAGCTTTATGCCTATAAATTTTTTAATGCATATAATAGAGCAGCAATTTGGTGTAATCTTTCAAGAACGTGAATCCTAACCTTTGGAGCTTCATGCAATGAGCTCGGCAACCCTAAAATTTGAACTGGGCCTTTAGTATTTCTACCTTGGCTACCAGGTGGCTACCGTGGTACCCAGGTGGCTACTACTGTTTTGGCCAGTAATTCCTCACTGAGTCTATGCATTCCACCATTCAGCTATCGCTAGCGCACTGAGCTATGCACACACAGGCTGTATAGGCGCATGTAAACAAGTTCACACCGTGATTTGACATATATTTTTCTTGACATATATATCTCCGATCTCTTACCTCAGTGAAAGTATCTACATGCCGCTTCTGTCGGCTAACTAGCTGGAAAGGCACTGTAATGTCATGCTGTTGGAATTCTTGTGAAGGCAAGGATCCATGGATCCTTTGTATATGTGTGCCTGCAAAATAAGAACACAGTATTTCAAAGTCATGCTTTACAAATTAATATATAATTGGAGCTGTGCATTTACATTTAGGTAGCCTTCGTGCAATTTTAACAAATTTCTACAGAAAGGTTTTTCTGAACAAGACTAAAACATAGAGAAAATACCAGAAACAGTATCACTGGAATTATTGTAGCAGATTGACCAGGGTGGCCAACGACTAGTCAGTCGGTTCTTTGTTGGTAAAAAATGATATAAATGGTGTTCAAATATAGATAGACATCCTTTCTCGTTCACTAATGTTATACTTGCTTGCTATTTCTTGGCATTTTTATGGTTATTTCCTAAGAAAACTAATACATCAAAACCAAAAATTAGCACACACAGTAGTGCATCTGTAGCGGTTTCTAGTGACATATACATAGTCAGACACAACCATATGATACACTGAATATCAATCACAGTAGTGTATTACACACGGACATATTGAAATACGGTTGCGAAGCAATGTGAGTCAGCTACGGGCCCAATATCCGGCGGGTTGCTGCAGTCAAACGAGCGATCGGCTTTCCTGCTTGCGCGGGTTAAATTTTAGATGCGCGAGAATCAAAGGACTTGCCGAATTGAATTTTGAATGAGCCGCATTCGTAGCATATTTGGGTGGCCCTGGACGTGAATTTAAATGCAGTGAAGTTCACAACGTGAATCCAAGTGAAACGACGGCCGCCATAGGTATAGCTTTTACAAAGGAATTTTATATATTGTGGAAATATATACACGTGTAAGTACTAAGTAATAAAAACTGTTAATACTTATTAATTTTGATCATCATTAGCTTCAAAAAATCAACCTATTATAATGATTATCTCTCATGGCAAAAAATAAAAAATGTAAAAAATAGGTCTTGCCCATTATCAGATATGTTAACTTACTGATTACTGCGGCATAAAAAACAACGAATTCATGCTGTTATCGGCTGTGTTCTTTGGCAGACATGCACTTGGCAATGAGCAATAAATTCTACTAGTACTAAGTGCTGAAATTGTTGAGAAAAGATTAGAAATTGAATTTACACTTGATAGTTCCGACCAGAACCCCAATTTTTCAGTTTTCCAGTTCCAGCACGAACCAAATTTTTTCCTAATTTCATTATTTTATAACAGTCAGGAAAAAAAACATAAATCTTACTGGCAGGACATTCTAATTTGAGCTTTGTACTTCCTTCCCATGATTATATAAAATCACCACATGAGGCTAAAATTTCTCTTGTACACTGAATAAAGCCAATTCATAAACCCAACAAACATCTTGTAATTAGAACATTGGGCTGCAATCCTCTGACTGATGTGTCTGCTAATGCTAATTAGTTTAGGTCAAGTAATTTTGCACGACATAGGATTAAAACTATATAATGTTAATCTCTGGCTAAAGTTACGGTTCTCGGTTGGATAGTTACCGGTATAGTTATGGTTCCCACCAAAAATTCAAAATTTGGATCCGGTGCACCCCTAATTATTACAACCAGGAAAGTCCACGTACATGGTTCAGTACACGTGTACAAAACATGAAGCATGGAGCTATCAAAACCAAGCGCTGCTACGAATATACAAATGCTGACTATTTCAAACATGTAAAAACGAAAGTAAGACATTCAAGCTGGCATAAATATAAACGGATTGCCCCAATGCTTGCATCTGACGTTTAATCACCCTGATTAAAACTTGTCAATTCGCCAATGCGAAGTGATCTCACTTCTATATGGCGCAATATTCACAGAATTGATTGAATAATGCATATTGTGCAGTTTTCTCTAATTTTGCCAAGAAATGAAGTGAATTAATTACTTTCAAGTAAGTGTAATCTTTCAATTAAACATTTCTCAAAGTCTACTGTTGGAATACTTGCCTTAAAACATTTTGTTTCATAAGGAACAAAAAATTAAAATCACATTAAAAAAATTTGCACATTTTAAAATCTAAAATGACAGGAAATGTGGTAACTAGTACACCAATAGTATGTGTCTTAAATATGATGAAGTTGTTCTGCACATGTTACTAGAATTAAAACTATCACCTCAGTCAGGGCTCGAATTAACCGACGGCACCGACGGCAATTGCCGTCGGTGCCCCTATCAATCGCCGTACTGCCCCTGAAAATCCAACCCGACCGACGGCAGTCACCTGCCTTGCCCTTTTGTGTAATTGCCGTCGGTGCCCTTTAATCTACTGCCCTAGTTTTGTTTTTAGTCGAATCAACATAACACGTGCGCGTGCGTGCTGTAGTTGCAATGATGAGCTAAAAACCGATAGTCGCAGGAGGGAACAATAACGGCATCGGATAATTATTTGCTCCTGATAGCGGGCATGTAAAATTTCTTGTTACTGCACTTCCATTATATATTAGCAGAGGTGGGTATAGGGGTCAGTATTACAGTGTAAGCTTACATGGGGGTATATTGTTTTGTACATTAAAAGCAAGACGATGTTGATGTACTAATTTGTTATGAGTTTTCCTTTATTTTACAAAAGTGCCTTGGTGCCCTTCTCAAATTTTGAGAGTTGCCTTGGTGCCTTTCTATTTTAGAGAAAATTCAAGGCGATTTCTCACATGCCCTAAAAAAATTGCCTTGCCATTCTCGTCGCTTAATTCGAGCCCTGACCTCAGTGCAAGGGATTCATCATGTTTCTTTGTATTCTTTGGTGCTAGAGGGTGTATTCCAATTTCCATGCTCTAGCTGGAATACTGGACGTGTAAATAACTCAAGTGTTTACTGCCCAATATATATTCTTACTCTTATCCTGATGTGTCATTATATTTCTCTATCTCTCTCTCTCTCTCTCTCTCTCTCTCTCTCTCTCTCTCTCTCTCTTATCTTATTGATGTAGTTCATTATATTTCTCTATATCTCTCTTCCCTCTCTCTCTCTTCTCTCTACTCTCTCTCTCTCTATCTCTCTCTCTCTCTCCTCTCGTCTCTCTCTCTCTCTCTCTCTTCCTCTTTCTCTCTTATCTCTCTCTCTCAATCATCTCTTCTCTCATTCTCTCTCTCACTCTTTCTCTCTCTCTCTCTCTCTCTCCTCTCTCTCTCTCGTCCATCTCTCTCTCTCGCTCTCTCCCTCTTTCTAAAATTTTCTTGAACTATTATTGAGCGGTGGAAAAATGACAGTGTTAATTGATAGTGAACAGTAGTTATTACAGTAGTATATGTATTTGAATACACATATACTGAACAACTTCTGAGCACAGTTAGCATTTTTAAGTTATTACAACATGTCTTCAATTTTAACACCATTCCTTGTTTTGTGTCTTCAAAGGCAGAATCAGTAACTTGCGCTCTAACTTCAAAAGCTAGGAGCACCGACGCCGGCCTAGCACAACAGCCACTGGCATGATTTACAAATACGTTATCACCTCTTTCAACCAAACAGCACAGCAGTGTACATCCTGTGGCTGGGAAGCTGCCCGGCCGAGCTCCCAGTTCACGCTGGCTTGCTAATGTTGTGGCATACGCGCGCCATGTGAGCGCACCCCGCGCGTGAGCGCTACACGCGCGGTCACCACATAGATACACGCCAGAAATAGAGTAAGTTCCGAGCAGGCATATCCCAAGTTAGAAAATCATGATTCCAGTTGTGGTAGCTATACAATTATATTACAATAAGCAGCAGGCATGGAAGAAAGATCTTCACGAGCTGCATTCTTGCGGCTATAGTTAATAACTCTCCCAAACGCGAAGTGCATGGCACTTATTACTAGATCGTGACAGAACCGAAGGATTGGCTCTTCCAATTGCGTGCAAAACCACTGAAATGAACTGTCGCGGAAAAACTGATAACAGCTGCCGCAGTGACTCACAGTACGATGCATTTCCATTATCACTCGTGGCCAGAGCTTTAATAGGTACTTCTGATGTTAACCAACAGTACGGTTTACCATTAATAGCGTTCGCTAAAATATATTACACGAATTTTGTCCATTTGCTACAGTGATATACATAGGCCCTGAGACATTCTTGGGAGAAATTGGGCTGAAGTAAAGTCATTGAACTTAGCCTTCACCCGATGTATCTCTCATCCTACCTCTCCCTCTTACACCATCTTCTTCCTCATCCTCCTCCTGACTCCGCGTGCCTTTACTGCATCTTCTCGCCTATTTCCTCTCCTGCTTTCCCTCCCAACATCATTTAATCCTTGGCTCTTTCTCCACTCTCTCGCCACTCTCTCCGCATCTCTCTCTCCTCCCCTCTCTCTTCTTTCGTCTCTCTCTCTTTCTCCTCTTTCTCTTTCTCTTTCTTCTCTCTCTCTTTCCTCTCTCTCTCCCTCTCTTCTCTCTCCTCCTCTCTCTCTCTCTCTATGCTCTCGCTCTCTCTCTCTCTCTCTTCTCCTTCTACACTACTTCCTCTTACATATTTGCAGGTGCCACACCTAGCTTTACTACCGGAGACAATACCCGACACCAAGAGCAAGAAAGACACACCACACAGAAGACAACGAAGAACTTATTAGCGGCTTTCGCAGACAGACAATGATCTGAGGTCGCCTAGCAATAGGCGTCGGCGCCCGCCCATCAACAGTAGGATGGAAATGCCCAACATAATATCCACCCTATTCAGCTTCAGTGGAAGCTTCTCCATCTTGCATCATCAGCTCCCCTCTCCCAATCACACGACTTGGGAGGTAAACTTGCTATCGATTCAAATGTCACTGCCAAAGATGTTTATTTTTATTACTATTGTACCACTACCCAAACATTGTCATTAATATTACTTGATGTTCATTTTTTGTTGTATATTCTTTTTGTCAATTAACCTGTAGCAGAACTAGAAATACTATTTTAGTTAGACAAGAGAACTGAATTCACTGAGGGACCCTTCTAATGGGTATTGTAGAAAATGGGGATTAAATGCAAACAGTTAGCTCTTTGTATGTAAGCCACACCAATGTTTTTAAAATTAGTTCTGTAGTATGTGTAACCAGCCACATCTTTTGTAAATGATAGTTTAGCACATTGTCGTGA